CTAACAAGGAGTGTTGCCAGGTCATACATCTGACTATTCTTTGTGAATCATAAAGCATGACCCAAGATGTCAGGGCACCTGTTTCTCTTTTGTTAATTTTCTGTGGTATTTTCTGAAGCCTATCTCGTAAGAAAGATTTTTTTTTGAAAACTTTTAAATACTAAGACATACATGAGAACTTAGTCTGCAGAATTTGATCAAGGATCTAAGTAAAAATAGTAGGATATGTGCCTTTACATGGTGAAGCAAACCAGATTGAGATTCCTGCTTAGGCAGGAGCAGAGGGGAGTTGCAGGGAACAAAAGCACTGATGGGGTGGCTGCCCTTCCAGAGCGCAGGATCCCTGGGAAGATTCTCAGACCCTTGTCCCCAGTGCCTATCTGTGGAGTAGAGTGAAGTCAGTTCCTGGCTACTGGTTTCTACTCTCCTCCTTTTTCAGAGTTTCAGGAAAATGGTTAACCTTGTTTTAAATACTCTTACCATCCTCTTTGCACCAGCACAAGCAGAAAGACAGAGAACCGGGCTTCCTGTATGAAGTGGAAACAGGGAACCCTTTCCCTATTCCGTGCTCTGCCTTGGAACATAACTGGAGAAGGAAAGAAACCATGGACTGCACACAGCCCCTCCTAACATCCGCTGCCTTCTACATTTTTCTTACAGGAAGATCCACGCCTGAAATTTCCTGTACACATGCGGTCAAAGGCATCTTTAAACCCCAATGACCTTGGCCCTCTTCCTGTGAGTACACGGGAGGCACATGGAACGGGCTGAAAGTGTTTGTTCGTCCGTCTGCCAGCATTGAGTGAGAGGTCCTGTGGGCCTTCTCTTTCTCTAAACTTCTTGGGTCCCAGTGGTCTCTTTCTTAATAGAATTGGGTGTTTGGCTGAATTCTAATAGGATGTTATGGTTACTTGTTAAAGAGGTTTCTGAATTGCTAGCTGCCAATGGAGGTAGACCTTGCAGCCAGGATGTGCGAGAGACGCTCTGAACGGGTGTCAGTTTAAGCTGTGCTCACTCATTTTGTAACTCAGCAACCACTGAATTCCATCATGTTGCCGATTTAGTCATAGGAACAAAAATGATAAGAATAATGTGGGAGACAAAGGCATAAGTAGTCATAGAAAGTTTCTCTAAGTCGTTTAACCTGCGGATATTATAAATTTTTCTCCATGTTGGTAAATTGTTGATAAATCTTTTTACCAGTTTGTTCTCCTTGGGGCCTGAGCAGAAGTTGAGCTATTTACTTCAAATGGGTTTTTTTAATTTAATTTAATTATTATTTTTTTGAGACAGAGTCTCACTATGTCACCCAGGGTAGAGCGTTATGGCATCACAGCTCACAACAATCTCAAACTCGAGTAATTCTCTTGCCTTAGCCTCCCAAGTAGGTGGGACTATAGGTGCCCTCCACAACGCCTGGCTGTTTCTTGGTTGCAGTTGTCATTGTATAGCTGGCTCAGGCCGGGCTCAAACCTGCCAGCCTTGGTGTTATGTGGCCGCACCCTACTCACTGAGCTATGGGCCCCAGGCCTACTTCAAATGGGTTTTGAGTGAAACCTTCACAAGTATCCTCCTCAACAGCCCATCCCCAATTAAAGAAAAAAGACACAAAGCTGGCCAGTAGGAGTTGGACTCCTAAGACTGTTTTTAAATGGGAATTTTAATTTCAAGCATGAAGACCTTTTTGTTGCGTGGGATATGGTATATTGTGGTATAAGTTTGAGGCTAAAAAGGTGAGAGTCCATTTGCTAAATAATTAGGTTATACATTCCAAATCTGTTTAGTTCCTGGAAAAACATGAAAATGCCAAAGAATAAGTTTAGAAAGTAGAAGAAAGTAATTGTTTCTGAATCTGTTGGATTCATGAAGTTCAGATAGCAAACAGGAAAAGTTCAGATAACAAGCCTGATCTTGAAAAAATTATCCAAATCGGGTGGTGCCTGTGGCTCAAAGGAGCAGGGGCCCCATATGCCGGAGGTGGCGGGTTCAAACCCAGCCCTGGCCTAAAACTGCAAAAAAAAAAAAATTTTCCAAATCTAATATTTAGTTCATGAGTTTGAATGGTAAGAGTTTGTGGCAGAGAAAACCAGTTTTAGATTGTCCAGCTGCCTGGATAACATGAGTAAAGTAATTGTGGCTAACATTTTTATATTAACCCTCTCCCTTCATTTAGTACTCAGTATTTAGTTAATTAACTGAGCTGCTGAGCCTCAGACTCCCCTGTTCCCTGGTCTGCTGAAGTTTGCCTTTGAAGCTTTGTCGATAGCAGCTCATTTCCCATTCTTCACACACTGGCTACATCTGAAATTGTGGAACCTGTGATAAAGCATGTTGCTAGACATTGCCAGGAGTTAACCTGAAATGTTTTAACTTATTGTCATTGTACGGAAGAGTATAGAAGTATCCTATAATTTTTAAATTCTGCCTTTGAGGCCAGGTGTAGTGGCTCACGCCTGTAATCCTAGCACTCTGGGGGATGCAGGCAGCCAATTGCTTGAGCTCGGGAATTCAGAACCAGCCTGAGCAAGAGCAAGACCCCGTCTCTACTAAAAATAGAAAAGAAATCAGCTGAGCATTGTGGTGGGCATCTGTAGTCCCAGCTACTTGGGAGACTGAGACAGGAGGTTGTCTTGAGCCCATGAGTTGGAGGTTGCTGTGAGCTATAATGATGCCACAGCACTCTACCCAGGGCAACAGAGTGAGACTCTATCTCAATACAGACCAATTCTTCCTTCAATTTGGAAACTGCTAGCTAACACCTGTGTTCTCTCCCTCTCTCCCTTCCCCGGATACTAGCCTGGTTGGGAAGAAAGAATTCACTTGGATGGCCGGACGTTTTATATCGATCATAGTAAGTAGGCACTGTTCTGGATGTGTAGCTATTGCAGGTAAGGGGGGAGGGTAACTCAAATAGTATAGTGAAAGCTTTGTCGTTTTACTCTCTGTCTAGGCAGCCAGGTGTTATGTGGCGAGAATGATACCAGGGAGTCAGTGCCCTCCTACGGTACTGTGCATTCACCCCATGTTTGCTTGAAAGTAGCCCCTCAAGCTTTCACCCAATTTGATCTTGTGACCTATTAACTTTTTTTGTTTTTAATTAAAAAATTTTTTTTGGTTGGTGATCCCTTGACTTTCGTGCTTTTAATAAATACACTCTGGTAATAGAAAATAAGATTAGAAATGATGATGTAGTCAAAAGTCTGTGTGAGCAGAGTGTGGGGAGCAGCACAGGCGTTTGTGGGGCGCGGCCTGCAGAGGGCCTGGCCGGGCGCCCGCTCTGACCTTATTTTCTATTCGCAGCATGTTCCCTTGCACCCACCACACTAATGCCTATGTAGCTCTTGTAAAGTTGTGGTATATTTGCTGTAGACATTTGCTCCAGCATCTATGAATAAATGTGTGGTTTCTCATTTCAACTAAAAGTTAAACTAATAAAGGTTTGCTTTTAGCCAGGGGTGGGGGGGGGGATTTTTTGTTTTGGGTTCTTTTTTGAGGTGACATGTTTATAGATCCCTGAAAACTTCTGAAAAAGAATATTAAAAAGAAGGCTGTAAGTAGACGTAAAGTGAAATCATGCATGCAACTTGGCAGAATTTGGGTCTCTGTGAACACAAAGTCCTTGCCAGCTTTCCCCACCTCCATGTTTCCGTCACTAAACAAAAGCCCCCTGACAAGGCGCTGGCAGAGAAGTCTGGTCTCAAGGAAAGCGCATACGAAGAGGACGGGTCACTGTCCACAGGCGGGTCACTGTCCACAGGCGCGGTACCTCTTCCAAGTGTAAGGAGGGGCCAAGTGCATTGATGGGCTTTGCTCCCCGGCCTGAGGGTTTGAGGGGTTATTATGAATGGAATTCAGCAAGAGGGCCAGCAGTTCAGAATTAAACCAAAAGCAGGAATCATAGGTGTACGTACATATTTAGAGGGATGGGCTACCCTTCAAATCAAATATTTCGAGGTGCATATGCTTTTGTCTTTTATCAGGAAAAAATACTGATTTGCCTACTTCCTGGAAGTGTATGGTGAGCATAAAATTGCTCCCATAAATGCTTTAATATATGTACATACCCCACTTTTCCCTTGAAGTGCTAGTTATTGTACTCTTTAGAGAACTCACTAAAATGAGAGGTCACACCCCTTTTTCTCAAAAACCAGTTCCAGTTTCCTTTTTAGCGTTTTGTGCATTACCGTTTCAGTTTTCAAAGACAGGTGTGAATACTAGTGATTGTTTTACTAAAACAAGGTCTCTACTGGCAGCACAGCCTTGGTCTGTGACACAGCATTTGCCCAACATGGTGACAGTGTCCTGGCTGGGGGTGATGCTCAGGTCAACCTGGAAAGGATGCTGTGAAGGCTCTGAATGTACTTCAAGGACCCCAAACTGGGAATTGCAGGGAGCCACCTATACATTAGGAATAGTAACAATCCATTTCCCCGGTGATGTGCATAGACCTAACATAATATACAGGAGAGGCTTGATAAATGGTGACTTGAAATCAGGGTCATGGAGGGTCAGCGAGAAGGTCTCAGGTCGTTGCTGCCCTTTATCACAAAGTGGAAAGAACTGACTCAAGGAGCAGCAGCTCCCAGCCACAAGCTGGCCCAGTCCTTGTCCACAGGGAGTTGGAAAAGGGTGGGTACCTGAGCTCTCTCTGACTCCTGGTCAGTTGGACAGTTACATCAGCACTCTTTTGGATAGTCCTGATTCTTCTGCCCAGCACAGCACCTGGGAGGCTCCTCTTCATTCCTGGGGATGGAGTGATGTTGGATAGACCAATGCAGAGCCTGATTGAGCTGCACCAATGTGATATTAGTGGCCATTCGCTTGGAGGGTAAAATTATCAACCATACCAACATGTTCTCTTCAACAGATACATTGAACAGCATAAATTAGGCAACCAGAAATCACTTAAGAGAAAGATAAATTTATGAGAACCCCATTAGCTATTAATGCTACATTTCTGCACTTCTTTGTAATTTGTGAAGATTTGCTCACAGAAGGCAGTAGAGAGGTTCACATCAGTTAAACAGTTCACTTCATTTGCCTTCCTGCCAAAAGTTGGTCTTTTCAGACTGCAGAAGGCCTGTCTTTTTGAAGAGGTTTTAGCAGGCTGACACTCCCAAATGGGTTTAATGACCTGATAAATAATGTGTGGGAACTTTCGTACTGTCAAAATGAAACCTCACTTTCTAAAAAGTTCTCTAGCAAAATCCAGCATCTAATTCTGCTATCATACTGCCTACATGTGCAATTACTGTGAAAGCAGTCATCTTCTGAGTTGTTCAGAGTCTTCCAACGTAGCTGAGATATTTGACTATACATTGAATTACAGATAAGAATGCACTTGTCTTTTGAATAATTTAATTATTTTCTGCTTCATAAATTCTTGAGGTTAGAATTTTCAAGATTAACCATATTCAGTGATCTGAAAGATCTAATTTCAAAAGCAGCGAGTGCTCAGTAATAATCTTTTCTTTTTGGATTCCTTGACGTGTTTGGTTGATATTTATGGAATAGCTTCTGTGTTCAGGCCTGGTGTAAAAGGCTAAAGGGAAGATCTTGAACTTAATCTCTAGTGCTCACAGGAATGATGTCATTCTTAAAGACCAGGCATGCCTGGCAGCTGAGTAATTGGCCGCAGTTATCATATATACAAAATAGAAAGAAAATATATGCACAATTCCAGGGAATTTCTTGATTTAGTCTTTCCTGCCAGCAGTCTTACCAAACCTGTTAGTAGTGGCTAAATTGACTGAGTCTCTCATCCTTCTACTTTCTTCTTTGTCCTTTTGTTTATATGACTTAAAGAAGAAGAGCAAGTTTAGACTCAGAGATTCAAAAATATATATATGGATAACTGGCTACCATACACTGACAATGCCTAGTTGCAAAATTGATCTTTATTGTAACCATGTAGAAACTTGCATGGTTTTGAAAGCTTAGACTTTGATAAAGGGATTTCATGTTCACCATCAGCTTCATTCAGTCACTTAAAATATAATGTATTAAGCTCCTGCTGCATGCTGGAACCTCCGTTAAGTGGTGGAGAGGGGATGGTGGAGATGAATAACGATTCTTGTTCTCAAGGGACTTACATCTAGTAAGGAGTACCAGGAGATGTTTCAGGGTTTTGTACTGGAGGGTGAGCCACTTGTTACCCCTAAGCAAAAGCAGTGGAGGCAGGGACTGCCCTTGCCTGGGGAGTGGTTGGGTACAGGGGATGGGGGCGTGCTGCAGGAGAGTCTGATGGAGTGGGTTACCTTCCAAATGGATGGGAAGTGCTGAGTAACATTGAGCTGGGCAAGCACAGTGAAGAGTGATTTTAGGAGGGGGTGGGTAGCATGTGGAGATGCCTGTGTGTCTGTAGATTATGCACCTTCAGAGAGCATGGCTTTGCTCTAAATAGCTGGTGTGCAGCAGTGGCCAAGCCAAGGGCTGTCTGTGTGTGTGAGGACTGGGCTTCATTCTGCAGCCAGTCAAGAGCTCCTAAGGGATTTTCCAGAGGGAAGTGACAGGGTTCAAATTTGTTGTTAAGAAAATCCCTTTGGCCAGAGCTGTAGAGGAAGTCTTAAGCAAGGGGATTGAGACCATGGCCAGGGAAGCTTAGAGAGAATAGTCCAGGAAAAAGATTGAAGACCTTGGCAAGAAGCCTTATGAGGGAGAAAGATGGGGACGGCTCAGGACCACAGAAGTGAGTGATGTGGCCCTGTTCCTGATTTGGACAGTGATACTGCTAATTGGAGTATGGGCTCACATGAATGGCTGGTGGTGCTGGGTGATGGTGGTCCTATTTTGGTAGCGTAGAGCTGAGGTACCTGTAGGAAGTCCAGGTGCAGATGTGGAGGCTGGAGATCGACAGTGGGGGCTGCTCTGAGGAGTTGGTAATCCTTGTGAGTCAGGAGTCAGTTTATTTTCTGCTTTGATGACGTATCCAGGTGATGTGGTTGTAATCCAAGGTGGTATTTTAAGGCACAGTTTCCACTAAACTGTGTTCCATTTCCTTTATTTTGGTTTTCTTTTCTCTTAGTTTCCAATACAATAATAACTTTTACTTTCCAAAGTCTTCTATTTTCAAGGTTAAGGAACCCCCAAATGGCTTTTGCTTTCATCAAGGTTCTCTCAATAGTTGAGATGTTTCGTGTAAATTTTCTGCCAGCATGAAAGCAAAATAAGGATTCTGTAATCATCGGGTATTATATACCGTGTTTTGTTTGTTTGTTTGCTTGCAGTTTTTGACTGGGGCTGGGTTTGAACCCGCCACCTCCATCATATGGGGCTGGTGCCCTACTCCTTTGAGCCACAGGCACTGCCCCTTATATAGCTTTTTTTTTTTAAAAAAAAAAAAAAAAAAAAAAAACTTCTGCTTTCCTTAAAATAATACCAGAGTTTTGTTTTTGTTTTTGGGGGTTTTTTTGAGACAAAGCCTCAAGCTGTCACCCTGGGTAGAGTGCTATGGCATCACAGCTCACAGCAACCTCCAACTCCTGGGCTCAAGCCAGTCTCCTGTCTCAGCCTCCCAAGTAGCTGGGACCACAGGCACCTGCCACAACCCCTGGCTATTTATTGGTTTCAGCCATCATTGTTGTTTGGCGGGCCCGGGCTGGATTCGAACCCGCCACCTTAGGTGTATGTGGCTGGCGCCTTAGCCACTTGAGCCACAAGTGCCAAGCCAATACCAGAGTTTTAAGAAATTCTTCATGTGGTTATTAAAACTGAATTCACTAGTTACTCTCATCAGTCCACTTACAGAATATACAGAAAATAAAGTGAATCAGTGTTCGTTATTTTTCAAACATAATTTTTTTTTAACCGATTTAGAGTTTCTAAAACTCGAAAGCAGTCTTTTTCAACTTTTTTTTTTAATCTCGCGGCACACTTGAACCTGTAGTTAAAACTTCTCAGCACACTCAAATTGTGTTGATTTTAAAAAGTTAAAAAAGAATACTGGGCCTTGAACGTCTTTTGAAAATAAATTAATTAATGATCTTTAAAATTCTTCATGGCATATCAATTGAAAATCACTGCTCCCCATACCTTTCATGCAAGTCCATCCCCACCCTCACCCACAGGTGTCTTTAAAATCGTATTCATTATGCATAGTTACAAATCCTAAGGGGTCCAGGGCAGCTATTTGTGTTAGCGCTTACCCAGGTAGTGGTGTGGGTGGCACGGTCTTGTTCACATTAACTCATTTGGGAGAAAGAAAACTACCTCTTGCCAACTTGGCCAAAGGGAAACTGTTCTCTGGACTCTTCCTCTGCTCTCTGGAATTCTCATTTTTTGGACTGCCTTTATCTGCTTTGATTATTTTGTGTGTGTGTGTGTGTGTGTGAGTGACGCATGTGATGGATTTTTCATTTGTTCAGTATAAGATTCTTAATTGAAAGCAGTTTTTCAATACCCTAAGCAAATACAAAAGTATTTGAAATGAGAAAAGAAGTCGTGTGTGTGTGTGTGTGTATTAGCCTTTTTGGGAACTTATGTCTTTTTTTCAATGAAATGAAAATCAAGATCAAATTATAAATCTTTGAGAGAACAGGAGTTTGTAATTGAAATTTCAACAGATTGCTTGCCAAAAACGGTGTGAATAGATCGTCGTGCAGTTATGCAGTTTTGACTGAGTGTTTTTAACTTAAACAGTGTAAGGGGCATTTGCCACACAGACCACAGTTACCTTCTAACTCTGAAATAACTTATCTTTTGTGAGGGGAGGTATTATTACTGAGCAGCCCCAGGAATCCAGGGTATTCTTTCAAGAGCATTCTTTACGTAGAATAGAATTGAACTAATATGCTAATTTTTTTTTTTTTTTTTTTAACATTTTCAGATAGCAAAATCACTCAGTGGGAAGACCCAAGACTCCAGAACCCAGCTATTACTGGTCCGGTCAGTATTCTCAAGTTCTGACTCCTTAAGATTTGGGTTGATTCTAAGTGTGCATTTCTTGTATATTACTGACAACTGATGCCAAGGGATTGGAGTAATTGAGTAGACATTACTCTTATCTTCTTCTTGCTGAAGGTACAGCTGCATGTACTTTTTGGGAGGGCCTTCACTGCAAAAGAAAAGAAACTGGTTTAATAATGATAGTAGAATTCTACACTTTCTTCTCCTCCTTTGTAAATGAGGAGATTAAAAGTATGATCAAAATTTCCTCCCTTTTTGAATGAAGCAAAACCAAGCCCAATATTTGTAGAGTTTTGTCATCTCTTTGGGCCAGGGATAATACATGCATGTTAATCAATTTAAATCTTCTCCAACTTTAAAAGTCTGTAGAAGTGTGGGTGAGGTTGCAGCTAACTTTGGGAGCTGGCAGTTCGGAATCTTTAATTCTGCTAACCCACTAACTTTCTCATAGTACCCTTCACATGTAATGGGTGGGAAAAGAGCCAGTTCTGACACATCGGTATAATGACATCCTAAAGGAACTGGACTCCACTGTCCCACAGTGTCAGCAGACGCTCAGCATTACAAACTTGGGGGTGGGACCACATGCTGGGGAGAGGGGGAGGACTGCCCATCAGTTGTTATAAAAGTGTAAGGAGCTGATTTGGAATTACAGGAACTGCGATGAGATTAGCAGAAGACTGCAGATTTGCGGTTCTTTTAAAAAATCTAGAGGAGCAAAAGGAATTAAAGTTGGGTATATAACATGCTGAGCCTAGAAGCCAATAGGTATATTTAAAGTACCAATTTCATGGCTTTGATCTTGGTCCATTCAGCTTATGTTTTGAATTTAGATATGTTCATTTGAAAACTTAAAAGATACTAACACTGCAGATGTGCATTGATAACTGACACTCCTTTAGTTACTTGTTACATTCATTTATTGGATTTGTTCTGCCACTGTGGTGGTTTCTTAGGCAAAGTACCCAATAATACCTGGATTAGAACAGTTAAAGTACTTTTTCCTTGCTACTGCCTTACTCTGAGGGTCCCTTTAGGACACAGTCACAATTGTAATTGACTGACAGGGTAGTATTTTCTCCTCTACATCATCAGAAGCCAGGTAAATTCAAGAAACCATGCTGTTTTCAAATGACAAAAGTTTTAAATCTTTTTCAAGTATTTCTACGAGGTATTAGTCAATTACCTTTGCTCAAACACTGCCAGTTTTTATGGTCATTTAAAATTGTTTGCATCATGAATCCAGGTAGATTTACCCCCAAAAATACCTGTTTTTTTCTGTTTTCTATTCGTGAAAGAGCTTTGTTTGCTCTTCTATTATTATTATTATTAGTGACATTGCTTTTGGTAGGGGTATTATGTGTACTTAAGTAATTAGGAACATACTGTAGACATGTGGCCTTTATTGTCATTCAGTTTGAACTATTTGGCAATTTTCATTTGATTTTTCTCCTTGATTTATAAATTAAAATATGCTTTTTAGTTGCGAAGAGTATGGGAGGGATTTTTGCCTGTCCATTTCTGACTGATTATTCAAATTTGTTTGCATGATGGGCAGAGAACATTGACTATAGAATATTTATTATTGGGTATTTGAACCTTTCCTGGAGTCTTGGTCATTTCTTGTAAATTTCTGTATGTGTTGTAAAAGAATGTGTATCGTGTCTTTGGTTGGATGTATGAGGTCAAGCCTGTGGTATTCGAATTATCTTTATTAACTGTTTCTCTGACTATCTGCCCATCAAGAGAGTTGTGTCAAATACTCGGTGGTGATCATTGTTCTGTCATTTTGTCTGAGACGTATACAGCTATACTTGCTTTCTTTCTAAAATAGGATTTGCCTGGTGTATCTTTTGTCTCATGTTTTGTCTCCTTTCCTGCCTTCCGTTAGATTGATTGAATATTTTCTCCTGTTTTCTCTATATGCTTTCAAATTGTACTTCGTAGTCTATTCTCTGAGCACTCATATTAAACTTTCAAACCAGCATAGTTAAGGTAAAAATTGGTCACTGTACCCCCATCCTGGATAGCATCAGACCACAGGGAACCATAATGCTGTTACTCCCATTTACATGTTACTATTGGGCAGAATTTTTTAAAACTACCTTGTCTTTAAACTTTTCAAATAGTCATTAATATTTTATCTTTTTCCCCCTACAGTCAGTGCTGATTGAATTTTACCTGTTCTTTGCCCACCATTGATTCTTGCATCCATTTTTCCCTCCCGTGAATTACGTTTTTTCTTAATGGAGCATACCACAATTTATGATTCTCAGTGTGTTCTGATGACCAGCATGTCAGTATCATCCAACACGTGTTAGAAACAACATGTTTTCAGGTCCTACCCCAGACCTCCTGACTCCATAGCTCTGGCTGTATGACAATCTTTGTTTTAACAAGCCCCCTCCCAGGGGTCCGCTGCCCACTCAAGTGTGAGGACCTCTGCCCAGCAGCACTGTGAGTGAGTCTGAGAATGGCACCATTTCTTAGTCTTTGAAGGTCAGCTGATTATAGAATTCTCAGTTAACTTATTTTCCTTCAGTACTTGCAGGTATTCTTAATGTTTCTGGCCTTCATAAATGACGAGAAGTTTGCTGTCGGTCTGATTGTTGTTTCCGTGTAGGTGAATTGCTCTTTGCTCTGGTGGTTTTGGAATTTTAATCTGTGTCTTAGATGTCCTGCAATTTCACTGTCATGTGTGTGTGGATTTCTCTCTGTCTAATCTGTTTTGGACTCATAATTCTTTAATATGAAAATCATGTCTTCTATAAAATCCTCAGCTGTTAATTTCTTCACATAGTACATTTTTCCCGTTTTCTCTGATTATCTATTTTTATAACTCCCATTGGGTACTTGGTTCACTTTCGCACTGTCTTATCTCTCAACTTCGATATTTACCCAATCTCTCTCTTTCATTGCTGTGTTGTGAGTTATTACTCAGCTCTTCTGGTTAATTCTTTCTTAAGCTTTTAAATCATCTCTTTATCAGTTCATTGTGTTTATTATTTCAGTGACGATGTTTAATTACTCAAAGTTCTAATTGGTCTCTGAAAGTTTGCGTTGTCCTTATAGTTATTCTGTCTTGTTCTTTCCCTTTTTTTTTTTTTTAATTCTTCATCTCTAGCATTTTAAGAATATTTTTTATTTCATGGCCTCTTTCAGATCATTCTATTATCTCTGGGCCTAGGACTGTTAAATCTCCCACTTGTTATGTCTATAGATTCTTCTTAATGGTAGCTCATTGCCAAGTTCAGTTTATGATTTGTGTATGTGTGGGCTTGCATGCAAGGGAGAGAGCGAGAGTGCACGCATCTTTATTTATTTTTTTTTTTCCTATGGGGCTTTTATAAGTCCTGACCTGTATTTACTGTTAACTTCTTGGCTTGGATTCATGTACTTCCAATTAGTATAACTGTGGACCTCGCTTTGGTATAGGCTTCGAGTATGGATTTATTACAGGTCTGTTTCTTTTTGTTTTTCTTCCTTTTATGGTCCTGGACAGAAGGTAAGCTTTCTTGCAACTTCCCTGGGCCGGTGGGTAGAATTTTCCTTTCTCCTTTTCAGATGTTAGGTTTCAAGCAGGACACTCTGTTCTTTCTAGGTCATGGAGACAGAAGGTCAAGTTCTGTGTCCCCATGGAAGGATTAAAACACAAGCCCACACACCTACGAGTCTAGGTTGAGCGCACACTCAATTCTCTAATTTTCAGTCTTTGTATTTGGTGCCTAGAGTCTCTCTTTTCTTTTTCCCAAGTTTTAAAAATATTCTAGTTAGTCCAATGTTTCCACATATTTTTAGGACAGGGAGCCTTTCTATGGTAGCATTGTATGTAACATTCCTATAAAGCTACATGCTCTCTGTGACAAGTACCACCAGTCGCAGCATTTATTAAATGCTATCTGCATACACTGCTGGTGATGATCTGCTACTAGCTCATGTTTGTGTAATACTTTAACTTTCCCAAGAACTTTATAATCATATGATTGAAAACCCACAGCAACTTTTTAGAAGCTCAAAAAGTTAACTGCATTGCTGACAGTCCCTGCAACTGTCAGAATCAGGACTGGAGCCCCAAACATGCTGGCATCACCCATGTCTTCACATTGGGCGTGGGCCCTTCTGTCCAATGATTGGTATCATCTGGACAACAGTGATATGATACCATTTAGAGCCAACATACACAATAAAGCAAGTTGACACTTGGTACCAAAATAACTAATTTAATACAGAGTAAAAGGTCTTTAATCAACAGACTTGTTATTAACAATCTTTCAGACAGCCTTATTTTGCAAGTTAAATTGTATGTAAGAAAATGAGATGCCAGATTTTCAAGAGGAAACAAGTAATTTGGATCATTCAGTACAGGAAAAATACATGTAATTCTCTTCAGAAGCTTCGTTGTAGGGATGTGTGTGTCCTGGTATGTGGTTGGAATCTTTTCAGGAGGACAATATATAAATGTACTCTTCTTAATTGTATCGTGAGAACTGCCTCTAGACAGAAAAGATAAGTATCGGAGGAAGAAAATGATTTTTCTGCTTGCATGCCACCATTCCCCAGAAGAAAGGCCAGGAACGTCTCAGCATCTTTTCCCACCCACACCTACTCAGCACCTGCCAGGTTACAAGACAGGCAGGAGCATGGATATCACAGGCAATGGGCAACGTTTTGAAATCTCTTCCTTGGCAAATGTGTTCTTTAAGACAATTAAACATGCACGTGCATTGAGGAATGTTGAAACTTTTCCTTAACATTTTCAGTGGGGGAACAAACAAAAAATAATTCCTAAGAATCACAGATTTGGGGAAATGGAAGACCCTAGTCAGATATATTTTGTTAAATCTTTCGACTTAACTGGAGAAATTCCTTACTGGAGACCATGTGTTGGCAGTGAGCCGGGGACAGAGGCTCCGTTAGAATTCAGGTTTTCTACACCTGGCCTGAGAGAATGGAAGGTGGTCAGTTCTTCAGTTTAATTCCTCTGTATCATAGTTTCAACTAAAGCATCAGCAAGTGCTTCCCCTTCTCAAGACCTGGCACCCACTGTCTGCCGTGGTTTGTCTCCTGCTCAAATCTGGCTTGCTCAGCTACCCGCTCCTCAGAGCTGCCTCCCCTGACCAGCTCCTCTGAAATAACCCTTCAGGAGCTCTGTG